CGGGCAGGCCGAGGACCCAAGCGTGCCCAAGTCCCCTCCGCCCCTTCCCCCAGCCTCCGTGCGGGACTTGCCCCGGGACCCTCCCTCCGGCCCCCGGGTCATCCTTGCCCCCCTTGCCACCCGCCCCTGAGGGTCCTACTGGCCGGAGGGACCCTCTCCCCTGTTCCTCCCTGGAGCCCAAGGACTCCTCCCGCCCCCAGAGGGTGAGGAGCCTTCCCTGCCTCTCCGTTGCATCTAGGTTGAGAGCAGCTCCCAAATAGTTTCCTACTAAGGTACTAGTTAGAAGTTGGCCAAGTCTTCCAGAGTGAAACCAATAGCAGGTCTTCAGGTTTTACAAGCAGCGTCCTCTCCTTTCTCGTTTGTTTGGAGTTTTTGAACTTGTGGGATCACCCCCCCTCCCCCCTTCTCGCAGAGTTACTTTCTTGGGGGAAAGTTCAGATCACGAAACTCCAAGAACTAGTTGGAAGCTTCAGCTTCCTGCCTTGTCAGGGCAACTTTGCCTCTTGAGATCCCGCTTTGCGCAGTGAATGCTCTCTTGCCTGAGTTGCTGCTTTAGAGAGTGAAAGGGATTCCAATAACTAGCCTTCCCCCTTCCCAAATAGGGTGGGGCTGTGATTTATCAGGGATTACTCAGAAGGAATTCAAGAGTTCATAGTTTACTTATACACGTTAACAAGAGAGTTCGTCACTTTTCACGCTAAGCAGCAACTTTGGGTTTTTCAGAAGATTCTAATGGCTCCTGAAAACTGCAGAACCCCTCTCCTGCAGTGCATTTTGAAATCTAATTACTCCCGCTGGATGTTTATGAAAACCTTCTTTGTGTCTCCTAACTTCTGAAACTTAGCATGTACAGTGATTTTTCTGAAATCCTGAACCCATGGCCCAATGTAGTTTTCGCTGTCTGCAAGCAAGGAGATTTATTTGTGTGTCTCCCTTCTCTTTCAGGATACAGGTGTAGGTAAATCCAGCATCGTATGGCGGTTCGTGGAAGACAGTTTTGATCCAAACATCAACCCAACAATAGGGTAAGAGATTAAATCTGTTGAGTATGTAGCTAAAGGTGTATTGGAAGTCCTTCCAAATTAACAAGTGTGTTACGGGAGAGGGAGTGGGTATGCGTTCAGCGGTGGCAGTCTCCATCATCTCTGGAAGGACTTGAAAGTACAGTGAGGACCGGTGTGTTTTGGGAAAGTTGTCTTTTGATTTGTGAGGTGAACACTTCAAACTAAAAATACAAGTTACAGTTGCAGGTAGAGTGTACTTCGGTCTGTAAATATGAACGACAATTACGTCTTGAAATAAAGCAGAAGAAAAGAAAGAGGTCCTGGTAATACTCTTTCAGGGACATCAACCGAAAGATACTTAGATGGTTTTAGTTCTTTTCCTGAAAAGTGGGAGGCATCTGTCAGACCGGGAGGGCTGGCACATGGGTAAGTGGACGCCCGGGACAGCGCTTCTGGCCGCGTCACCACTGCTCCTGTCTCCTTCTCATACATTCCTGCGCAAGTAGGAATCATGAATTAATACATTAATGTTGAAATGGCAGCTTTTTCCTGGTGTCTGGCTCTTGGGGTAAGTGAAACTGATTGGCTATATAGGTTTTTGACTGTGAGAAAACCTTTCAGGGCAACTAAGTATTGTGATATTAAGACTTTTGCTGTGAGAAGTTGTGTCTTATAGGTTTTACTACTGTGCAAGGCTTATAAAATTAAATAGCTTCTATGCTATGTTTATTGCAAACCCCCCAATCAAATGGTATCTTCCATTTAAAGAAACATTCAGTGCTCCTGCAGAAACAGTTTACAACGTACACAATCCCGTTTGCGGGCATGGAGGCGAAACCACCACTATCGTTTTGAAATTAAAACGCCTTTCTGTATCCTTCAAGAAAGAACTGCGTATGTGCACTTGTGTAAAACGTGACCTCATCCGCCTTCGGGCCTGCCTGTTGCTACCTGCCTGGGAAAGCGAAGTGACAGGAAGTGATAGCAAGTAGTGCTGGTGACTCAGCGCGTGACGCGTTTCACACCAGGTCAGAGCTGGAAACACGTGTCTGGAATGCGCAGACACCACCTTGGTGAAAAGTGCTCTCTCAGGCGAGGAGACAGAACAGGAGGGGTATGGTTCCGGTGGTGGTGGTGTGGCCGGCAGCCCCGTCCTGGGCGTCCACTTCCCCAGGCTGGCGGACGCTGGGGTTCCCCACCTTGACTCCCGCTCCCTTCACCAGGAGGTCTTGGCTCACGTTTCACAGGCAAGAGGAAGATGAGGTTTTCCCTTCATTTCCCTCCGCCTGTCCTGGTTTCTTTTCTCTCGGCCTCCGCAGGTATCTTCCTCCTTTTGTGACCAGCTCCCCTCACACCCGAGCCCTGGAGCCCCCTCATCACCACTTGTCCCTTTCTTCTTCCCGCGCCCCGCCTCCTTGTCACGGCCTGCAAAGGTGTCCCCGACTCACCTGCGGTCCTAAGACCATACCATTTCCCAAGCCTGCTGTGCCGGTGGCGGGAACTCCTGGAAGAGAGGTTGCTGCTGCCTCAACTGCTGTTCCCTCTTGGACCTACTGTTGTCTCCATTCCACCCCCAGCATCCCACTAAAACCACCTTCCCTCCGTACTGGTTTCCATCGAGTTGACAAAAACAAGAAACAAGGGCTTTTTTTTCTTTTTTCTTTATTCACTGAGCGCTTTCTATATGCCACATGCTGGACTGGGTGCTGGTAATTTAAGCCAGGGGTCAGCAGACTGGACCTTTGGCCTCCCTGCTGTTTTTATAGATAAAACTTTACCGAATCACAGTCGTACTTACGCACATACATACGCACATACTGACGCACATACTGTGTCCACTGCTCTCTGGCTACAATGGTAGAGTTGAATAGCTGTGACTAAGGTCCTGTAGCCCAGAAAGTTGAAAATATACGCTGTTTGGCCCTTCTCAGAAAGTTGGCCAACCCCTAATGTAGATAGAATCGGTTCCTGCCCTGGCGGACCTTCCCTACAAGGAGGAAAGAGATACATCCTAAAATTAACGTGCAGGAAATGATTTATTGGACCTTTATCCGTGCTACAAAAGAGAAACATGGGAGTGTGCTGAGAGCATGATAGGTAACAGGGGCTTGGCCAAACATAAAGGAATGGCTGATTCTCAAGGGCAACAGTGGAGGTGTAAAGCATTTGGAAGCCCTGTTTAAAAATTGGAAGATGAGTGGATTATGCAGTCTTTAAATTTTAGCTGTGTTGGAGGGTGCATGGTAGTACCTCATTCTGGTTTTAATTTCCATTTCCCAAAGATGGACGGAGGGCATAGGTGCAGAGGGAGGTAGGAGGGGCAGAATGTCTAAATTCCCATTTTCCACAGAAAGCTCCAATTTAAGTCCAGGCCTGATGGCTCCTAGGGCCCATGCTTCCCCTCACCCCACCCTGTATGACATATGTGGCCATTAGGGAAGGCCCATGAGTATGGGAGGAGTGAGGGCCTTAGGACAGGAAGAGGGATGGCTACCAAGTTCTGCAGGGGACGAGGTCCAAATCACGGGTTGGAAATATGGGCCTGGCCCTAAGGGGAAGCCTGGAGAAGTTGACTTGAGACTACAGCGCACAGGTGAAGTTGAGTTGTGGGGGGGATGAGAGCGCTCGTGGGAAACGTGGGGAGCAGGACACAGCTGGGGAAGACCTACATTTGCAAAACAAGCGTTGGGGGGCGGGAGAGGAGAAGACAACAAGGGAGCATGATCACGGAGGAAGAGAACTAGGGAAGACAAGGGTTGCCCTCCAGCACACCAACACCTGGTAAGTGGTGTTGGAGCCTCCCCTGAACTCCAGGACCTGGCCACCCCCGACTATGCCCTGTTCTCCCGCCTCATAGTTGCTGCCGTCCCCCCTGCCGCTCACTTCCCTCAACGCCAACAACTAGTTAACTTCCACACTTCAAAAACTTTCTTCTTAAACTTTTGATTACAGTTTCTTTTAAAGAGCAAAGGTGTTTTTTGATCAAGTCCAGTGTATCAATTATTTTTATAGTTCATGTTTTTTGTGTCTTACACATCCATCCAAAATCATCAAGATTTTCTCCTATGCTTTTGTTTAGAGTTCTTACGCCTTTATGTTTGAAATCTTAGTTTGTGACTTAATTCTACTAGCTGTAGTTTACTGTGCGAAGGAAGTCAAGGATCATTTTTTCCCATGTGTCAGTCTAGTCATTATAGCAACATCTGTTAATGATGAATTCTGCATTTATTTAATTAAATTACCTTGGCGCCTCTGTCAAAAATGAGTATGTATGTGTGGGTCCATTTCTGTTGCATGGATCCATTTGTGTATCGTAGTGCTAGTACGATACGTGGCCCTGGTTGCTGTAGATTTGTAGACATCTTGAAATCTGCAAATGTTGAAATCAGGCAGTGTACGGCCATTGTATTCATATTTTTAAAAATCTGTTTGACTCCTCTCAGTCCTTTATATTTCTGTTTGAACTTTAGAATCGTAATGCCCAATTTGTGAAGAAAAGAAAAAAAAACCCTGAAATTTTCATTGGGAATATAGCTAATCTACTGAATAATTTGGAGACAGTCGACATCTTAACAATATTGTGTCTTCTTATCCGTAAACATGGTATACTTGTGCACTAATTTATTTCTGATTTCTGTCCACAAAGTTTTTTAGTTGTCAGTGTGCAGGCTTTGCACATATTTTGTTAAATTTTTCCCAAGTAGTTTGTTTTTATGATTAGCAGATGGAATTTTTTTATTTCAGTTTTTATTTATTTATTTTGAGAGAGAGAGAGAGAGGGCACGTGAGAGCAAGCACACGAGCAGGGGTGGGGCAGAGAGAGAAGGAGAGATAGAGGAGGGGGGAAGAGAGAGAATCCCAAGCAAACTCATGCTCAGCATGGAGCCAAACGCGAGGCTCGATCTCATGACTGAGATCATGACCTGAGCTGAACGCAAGAGTCAGCCATGGGACGCCTGGGTAGCTCAATCCGTTGAGCCTCCAACTCAGCTCAGGTCATGAACTTGTGATTCCTGAGTTTGAGCCCCATGTCGGGCTCTGTGCTGACAACTCAGAGCCTGGAGCCTGCTTTGGATTCTGTGTCTCCCTCTCCCTCTGTTCCTCCCTTCCCCCCCATACTTTGTCTCTCTGTCTCTCAAAATAAAGATTAAAAAAAAAAAAAAAGAGTCAGTGCTTAACCAACTGAGCCACCCAGCTGCCCCTAGTTTCAATTTATTTTTAATGTAATTTATTGTCAATTTGGCTAACATACAGTGTGTAAAGTGTGCTCTTGGTTTTTGGGGTAGTTTCCTGTAATCTCAATTTTTTTAAATGTTTTTATTTTTGAGAGGGAGGGTGGGAGCATGAGTGGGGGAGGGGCAGAGAGAGAGGGAGACAAAGGATCTGAAGCAGGCTCCACACTGTCACTGCAGGGCCCACTGTGGGGCTTGGACTCATGAACCGCGAACTTATGACTTGAGCCAAAGTCAGCCGCTTAACCGACTGAGCCACGCGGGCACCCCCCTAAATTCAATTTTTAATTGTTTGTTGCTGAAATATAGAATAAATTTTATTTATATGTGTTGGCCTTGTATCTTGTGACTTCCTAAATTTACTTAGTTCAGGCACTTTTTTCATAGATGCTTTGGGATTTTCTTAGGTGTACAATCACGTCCTAGGTAATAGACTGTTTTACCTCTTCCTTTCCAATCGGTATGTCTTTTATTCTTTCTTTTTTTTTTTTTTTGCTTGCCATATTACATTAGCTGAGACCTCCAGTACTTTGTTGAGAAGTGGTAAGAGCAGATGTCTTTACCTTATTCCCGATCTTGGGGTGGGAAACATTGGATCTTTTACCATTAAGTTAGATGGTTAGGCCCTAGGTTTTTTTATAGGTGCCCACTGTCAGGTTGAAAAGAAAATGTTCTCATCTATCCCTAAATCAGTGAGATCTTTCATCAGGAATTATGTTGAATTCTGTCAGGGGGTTTTGTTTTGTGTTTTGTTTTTACATGTTTTGAACTGTTCTTATTTTCTTTTTT